CAGTCTTTAAACTGGAAGCCTAGGAAACCTAAAATTCCTCTGCATTCAAGGGTTCCACAAGCATTTTCTATTTACCACATTTGTGTGTGAAAAGACAAAGCAGAAACACACTCTCCTCCCTCTCCTCGATAGGAAACCTAAAATTCCTCTGCATTCAAGGGTCCCACAAGCATTTTCTATTCACCACATTTGTCTGTGAAAGGACAAAGCAGAAACATACTCCTCCCTCTACTCTATCTTGTCTTGTAGGGCTGGGCCCTCAGCCCAAACCCCCTCCTTTTCTGGGTGACCACAAGAATGCCGGTATTGTCCTAACTCCCCCAACCACCACCTGAGTGGACCAGTGAAGCTCCAGGAATGCAGCTAAGGTCCTAATAAGGCTATAGTGGGGGACAGCTCAAGCCTCAAAATGTGCTGGTCACTTCCTGACCTTTGTGCTGTAAGAACCTGTTGAAAAACCCTGACCTAAATGACCAATCTCTGTAGCCCACGTCACTCCCTAAGCCCACCCAAATAACTAGCCATATATAACCTTTGTTCTCCTGGGACATGCTCTCTCCTCTCACCACTGCGTCGGAAGGAGGCTGGGAGCCAAACCTGGGTTAGAATAAAGACCCTTTGCTTTTGCATCGGAAAAGGCTCCCTGGTGGTGGATTATTGGGGCCCCCGAACTCTGGGCATAACATCTGCAGAAGAGCACATTTATAATGGAGAGAAGCCACATCCTGGAGACCCCATATTTTATGGATTTTGTTAACAGCAAAGAATAACAATCGCCAATATTTAATGAGGGCTTTCTACATGCCAGCCACTAATTCTAGGAATTAATTTATGTAATCCATATATGTAATATTAAGTATGCATATGAAGTAATATTATATGAAGTAATGCATATGACATAATATTATAGCTCATTTTATAGATTGATAAGCTGAGACTTGGAATAGTTTACTAACTTATCTCTTGTCATATAGTTAGCAAGCAGTAGAGCTAGTATTTTAACCAAGCAGTGAACCCCAGATACCCTAATTCTCTCTTAGTCACTAATCAGCAGAACAGAAATACAAATAAGGGGCAATTGGTAAATATTGGTCACTTTAGAAACATTTCACTCAATCCTTACACACTATATTCTGTTAAAGGAAACTAAATCTCAGAGAGATTAACTACCCAATTCCACAAAGCTAGCAAGGGCAAAAGCTAATAGCCTACATACTATATCACATTACCTCTCTATAGCTCAAAAACTAAACTGAGTGGCAGGCATAGAAGCAGAAATCTTACTTCAATTTGCATTTCAGTGCTGTTATAAGAAAGTCACCAGTGGAACTTGTCTGGCAGGGATGCTGACAGGATATAGAAGGCCTCTATGGATAACATAAAACCAGGATAAGCAAAGAGCAATAAAATCTAAACCATTAAGACATTGCAGTGTTAGGGTGTTTGTATGTTTGTGTGTGTGTGCGTGTGTGTGTGTGTATACACACAGTACATGTAACTAAACAAACAAACAAAAAAAGGAAGTTGGGCTGCCTGCCAAAATGAAAGCCAAACTCGTGAGGCAGGTGCTGGTATAAAAGGAAAGAGGTTTTATTCAGGAGCCACAAGACTTGGGAGAATGGCAGACTCCTGTCTCAAAGACCAATCTCTCTTTCTGCTCAAGCCTGCCATTCTTATAAGGATAAGGAAGAGAGGGCTTTTAAAAAAATTATTCAATTATTTTGCTAGCTTTTAGTGTGCTCAGGGCCCTATCCATTCATCTTTCTAGCTTGTTGCACACTCAGGCTCTGTCCATTCATAGTTCTAGTTTTTGGCATGCTCAGTATAAGCCAATGGGGAAGACTCCCTGGTGCTCCACTGTCTAGGGCAGCAGTTCTCAACCTGTGGGCCGCAACCCCTTTGGCGGTCGAATGATCCTTTCACAGGGGTCGCCTAAGACCATCCTGCATATCAGGTATTTGCATTATGATTCATAACAGTAGCAACATTACAGTTATGAAGTAGCAACGAAAATAATTTTATGGTTGGGTCACAACATGAGGAACTGTATTTAAAGGGCCAGAAGGTTGAGAACCACTGGTCTAGGGTAACACATGTGTGAAGTGTCTGCTGTTTGGTTTCATTCTATTTTCAATTACTCCTTTTATTTTCTGGATGAAATCTTGAGCGGTTCTCAGCTAAGGACAGTATCCACTACTGAAGTGTATTTGTCAACGTGTGAGGGCAGTTGTCTTCATGAGTGGGGCATCCTATTGGCATTTATTGGGTACTAGGGGCCCAATGCATGAAATTCCTGCAAGGGGCACGGCCCTTGCAGCCCCGGCTTCATCTAGAAGGTCATCCAGAAGGTTGTCCGGATGGTCGTTCTGCTGTTTGGCCATCTGCTCTAATTAGCATCTTATTCTTTTATCATTATAGATGGGCTAGAGATACAATTATCCCACAATATTGTGTCTGCACAACAAAGCACTATCCCACAAAAAATGCAATACTGCTCATGCAACATTAGTACGTAAAAGAACCTGTTCAGGAACTGTAAGGAAAAAATACACGATTCAGGTCTTATACTAACTTTACTTATTTATTTATCTATAAATTTATGGATTAGAGAGAGAAGGGAAGGGAGAGAGAGAGAAAAGAGAGAGAGATGAGAGAGAAACTTATCAAACCCACAACCTTGGTGTATTGGGACAATGCTCTAACCAACTGAGATAACTGATCAGGACCACCATTCATTCGAGAGAGAAACTTATCAAACCCACAACCTTGGTGAATTGGGACAATGCTCTAACCGAGATAACTGATCAGGACCACCATTCATTAATTTATTCACAAAATACCTACAAAGTATCTATCATGGTAGGCACCATTCTAGTAGCTGGGAAGTCAGTATAATAAAACATGAACAGTCCCTGCCCATCATAAAATTTTCACATTAGTTTATTTGCTTACCTGGTACACATATACACAAATACATGCATAATTTCAGTCAATGATAGACACTACATGAAAAACTAAGGCAAGAAAGTAAATAGAGAATAATGGGAGAGACACATTTTGCAAGGCGCACAGGAAAGGAGATGACACTTGAGCGGAGCCCTACATGATGCTGAGAAAAACAGCCATGAGAAACTCTCACTGGCCGAGAGAACACAAGAGCAAAGTCAATAGGGAACAAGAGAATTGTATGTTTAAGGAACAGCAATCAAGTGTGATAGGAACGGGATGAGCATGGGTGAGCAGTGGGCTGACATCAGAGAGGCAGGCAGAGGCCAGAATGTTTAGGGCTTTGTGGGCTTTGATAAGGAGTTTGGATTTCTGCTCATGTGATGGAACTGGAGAGTTTTAAGCACAGGAGTAAATGATCTGATTTTTTTAAAAAATCACTAGTTAGGGTAGTAAGAAGGCAAAACTGACAAGTAGGATACCATAGTACTTGGGAAACAAGGACGATAATAAAGCACACAAAAGTATATATAACAAGACCTTTTGTTAAATGGCCTAATTGGGGTGGGTGCTGGCAAGGAGAATTTAGCCAATTTTATTTTAAAACTATGGGGCCCCAAATAATCCCTGTACAAACTTGTGCCACTCTTTTTTCAGATGGGCAGGTCATGAATTGATTTCTTAATAATGTTTAAAAAGGAGGGTGGGGATGGGAGGGGAAGCATTTTACCATCTACAGCCTTTTTAAACTTAAAACCAGATCATTATCTTCAGTATTAACACATCTAGAAACAACTCTGTAATGACACTAATTTTAAAGTAGTCCCTGCTGACTGAAATAAACATAGGGGATAATAAATCCCCAAAATGTTCACACTAGAAGAGAATATTTTGGAAGCCATAGAAAATAGCTCCTATTTCAAATATAATTGACTATAAAATGTACAAATCCAAAAGTAGATCAAGTGAGATCAAATGAGGTAAAGACAGAACTTGCTAAAATAATCAAGTTTTGAGAAGCAATGCAGACAATGAAGGGACAAAGGTCTCAAGGTCTGGGCAGTTCTTACTAAATGCTATTCTTAGATGCAACTATAAGCAGGATGAGCTTGACAGGAACTTAGCCCATCAAAGTAGCCAAATGCAAAGAAGAAATCAACATGTAATTGACCAAGTAGTGTATATAAGCAATGGCTAAGCCTTCCTTCTGGGAGACAGAGCTCTGGGTGTGAATCCCTTCTCCATTACCTGTTGCAATTAAAACTACAACAACAACAACAAAAACAAAAAACAAAAAACAAAAAACGACGTTGCATCAACCATGTCTGGTTCTGTCTGGAGCACCCCAAACAGCGAACCCCTTGAGTTTCATAGCAACGTTATTGTATAGCTATCCTCACACTTCGTATTTGCAAGACACCTTGGTTTGGCACTTCTTTGTCTCATAAAATCTTGTTGGTGCATTTATGATCATCCAAATAATTACTGGCCAACACCAGCGAGCCCTTTCTGAAGTGTGTTGGGTAGGAATTTAAATACAGATTCTGTGCTGTCCATGGGCACCGCACTGACTGTGCCTGCTGCGCTGAGACTGGCCTGCAGACAGGGCAGTGGCTGCATCCCTAACCCACTTCTTGGGTGACTTACAGTCCGAGGGAGTCAGTGCATTAGAGTTAGGAAGACTCGGTGACTGGAGAGGCGCAGTAAGGCCTTGGCAGAAATCGGACTCAGAAAGGGTTATAACTTACATATGCAAATAGTTCCTTCTTAGGATTTCGAAACTGTTGGGAGCCGCTCGTTCAAAAGTATACGAAACGGAGGGCTCTGCTCGGGGATTTCTGCGTGCGGCTGCCTTCACTCCAGTGGACGGGGGAAACAACCGCTGCTGTCATGTTCTGTCCTGCTTTTAAGTAGCTTTCGTACAGATGCACTAGTCACTTTGCCAGTAAAACACTGGGACACGGGCGGGAAACCCCGGGAAATTCGGTCCCCTTCTTCCCAGCAGAGCGTGGCCGCCCCTTCCCCCGCCCCTTTCCGTAGCCAGAGGGAGGGGAGCTGGTGCATCCTGGGAGTCGCAGCCGCGGGGATTGTGGGAAATGTAGTTCGGCCACGCCGCCCTCCGCGCCTCCGCTAATGGCTGCTTCCTGGAAGGTAATGTGAGAATTCTCTCCAAAGGATCCTTAGGTTTCCCCCGAGTACTTGCACAGCGGGTCAGATCTACACCCTGCCGGGCCAAAGCAGGGATTCTTTTTTAAAAATTTAATGTTAATTCCTGGGACGCATTTGTCTGTCGCTTCGATTTACTTCTAGTTTTTCCTGAATGGGCGTACTAACCAGCCTTAAGTCTCCCACCCGTGCTTGAACAAACTATTTGCTCTACCTTGTTCATTCTCTCTAGGCTTTCCTCCCCCTTCCGTACAGCCTCCCTGCACTGCACTGACTGTAGCTGCCCCCTTAAAATAACAATCTAATAAGAAGAAGAATAAAGAATAATAATGAATAATTTTTAAATTTTCCCCATCTTCTTCTGGTAATAGGCGCTGTCACGTGAAACCTCTTAGCCGCCGCATTCCGAACGCCAGGAAGGGGGTGTTTCAAGTCCCGTAGAGTTACACAGATACCTATTCTTTGGTAAGTCGTCCTTTTCCCCACTACGTCAGAGTTTTATGTTGTGTGACTTTTACCAGATTTGTCTGCATTTCCTGGATGGGAGGAAAAACCCTTTGAACATGTAATTTTTACTAACTAGGATATTTTAAATTTCCAAGTGAGTGTTTCGTGGATTTTCTGTTTGTTCTTAATTATGCTCTGCTGTCCAGTTTGCTCGGTGTTGGCATCTGCAGTGTGGTGAATCGCTGGAGTCAGTTATCTTAAGAAGGGGAGCTTAGCCTCGAGTGATCATCTTTAAGTATCTTTTACTTCCCTCCGTTTTTTTTCATGGGGAAATGAGAATATGTGTCTGAAATGTAAACTTGAAAAGTTATGTTTGTCATGTATCCATATTGTCGTTGAAAAGGGTAGGAATTTTAATGGTTCCTCTTTGTTTCCATGTTTAATTTCTAGAAACCTTCAGCTCTCAAGATCCAGCCATCTCAAGGTCCCAACATCATGACCTCGGTTTCAGCACAGCTGTTCATGGTCCTCCTTTCTCTGCTCTTGGTGCTG